ACCAGGCGGGCCTAATGCGGCTCAATGGGGGTAACGATTGCAGATGCAGCAAGCAGCAACGTAGGAACTCGATATAATTCATTTTTGGTTGGTCACACATCCTAAGATCGGCCATTGTGAAAGTTGCTTAACATTCACGATCGCGTATATCTTTTATAAAATACTAAATAATTTAACGTAAAATATAACCGATTTCAAAAATACTGTAAATGTAAAATAAGATTTACTGTGAAGTCGATCGTTATTTTTATCATGATCTCCCTCCTAAGCACATACCTTGGTATCGACTTCAAGTATATCAAGCGGTAAAACTATTTTTTTTAAATAGGTTTTATTTTTATTAAAACTTAAACTTATTTCGTTTTCCCAATTTTAGTGTTACACAGAATACGCTACTAGTTGGATATTGTACAAGCATGGATCCACACGGGTAAAACCGTGAGACAGTGCTAGTAAATTATATACTAAAACCTTCTCAGAAAATGCGTATTTACGCATTAATATGCGCGAAAACCCCAACCAATTCGGATCCATAGCTTTGAGATTATCATGGTCAAACATGCATACATACAGATCAAACTGAGAATATCCTTTTTTGAAGTCTGTTTAAAGACCGACCGTGCAGCCGGAACAGCAGCAATATAAACGCTGGAACTACTGGTTGCTTTCCAATTACAGAGCATAATGCGACTCAGTGCCGCACAATGCCGAATTATGCTGATGCTTAATTGGAACGTGAATTAGTGTTGAAAAAAAAGTCAACGTTTGTACCTTCATCCCTAATTAAGTATATTTATTTTTTTAACAGTTTGAATTAACTTTGATCGTTTAAAAAAAAACTATTTAATGAAACGAAAGCTTTAATATTTTTTCAACAATAAATAATATTACTTACGATAACATATAAATAAAACATTTCGATCAATGCCAACTTAAAGAAAAAACACTTGTTAATTTTCTGTCACTGGGTTGGTACGATTGCACTCATCACACGAAAGCATTACTTTTGAGAGTGCTCAATTGTGCGAAGCGTTGCTGTAGTTGGAACACTCAACGTTAAGCATTATGCCGCATAATGCGCTATAATGCTGTAATTGGAAAGCTACCACTGTTTCCTTTGTGTGTTTTTTGATTACAGTTAGATAGCTCATACTTAGCACGTACTTCAGCCCACTTCATGCGATATACCAAGGCCTGATCTTGATCATCCTGAACAGCTTTTTCATCGTACTGCTCGCTTTTGTAAAATGCTTTCGAAAATTGCTCTTCAACATCCTGTAGCCTTTCGGCTGCATCTCTTACAGCTATAAATGTAGCTTCTATATTGTAACCTTGTTCAGGTAAGGCAAGTGCCTCTTCAAAAAATTTCAGGACGATTGTAAATTCACGCCGGAGTTGCGTCCTTCTGCGTTTTATGATCGTGCCCATAGTTTTTCCTCACGGTCGCCAATAATATTACGTATTGTTTGTATGTTAAAGATGAAAACAGGTAAAATTTATGGAATATCGAACAGAAACACAACGGCCATTAGTTTGCAATAGTGTTGCCGATCGATAGTCGACTATCGAGGATTAATCGATAGTCTATCGATAGTCGACCAATCGTATGACAATCGATCGGCTTATCGATAGTATCGATACTATCGATAGCACAGAACAAGCCAATACTATCGGATGAGTGAAATACTATCGATACTATCGATAGTATTGTAGGTCGGTAATAACAAACTATCGATAGTATCGATACTGTCGATTTTATTTGCAACTATACTATCGATAGTTTAACAATTTGCAATAGTATTGTTTACAATTTTCAGGTATTATAGTCAATCACAATAAACTATTAGAATTAGCACAGCTCTATAGAAATGTTTATAAAAATATATATATCGGCCTCTAATAGTCCTCAACTACAATACTGTTAAAACATACCTAATACTATTGCAAATTGGTAGACTATCGATAGTCTAAAACAATCGCTAGTATGGATACTATCGATACTATCGATAGTATTGTTGCACATAAAATCAACAGTATCGATACTATCGATACTATCAATAGTTTGTTATTAACGAACTACAATAGTATCGATAGTATCGATACTATTGCACTCATTCGATAGTATTGCCTTGTTCTGTGCTATCGATAGTTTCGATACTATCGATTGTATCGATTGGCCTATCGATAGGGTACATGATTTTCGATGTAAACTGTCGATAGTTTTCATATCGATAGTTTGGCAACACTAGTTTGCAACTAATTTATTTGTTACCAAGGAGATCATAATTCTATACAAAAAGGTTACTCCATGGAATCTATGACATTAAGTTTAATTGCAAGTTTAATAGTAAGTTTAAATAACATAGGTTCAATAATAAAATACACTAACAATAAATTCACATTATAAATAAAAATCTCAACCGTTGGGATTTGATTCTTGTATACGCGGCAACACCTGAATGACGTTTAGGGTTCATGTTATTTTATGTTGAAATTTCGAAATTTTACTATACTTATTGATGTTATGTGATCCCAGCGTCCTTGTTATTTATTGTAGTATTATTTCACTACATAAACTGCCATTTTACTTTCGATTAACACCAATTTTTAATAAAAACATTCACTACGTATTCTACTCCATTCCACTGGCGTTAGCTGATTGATAACGCAGCGTAAACGTAAGAGTTAACAAGAGTTTGCTCGTCGACCACGAGTGGAAATCGCGCGACGAGGCGGTGCCGGGTGGTTCTGATAAACTGTGATCTTTAAGCAACTTTCGAAATAGTCAGGGAAGGCCGGGACCAAAATTTAATTATTTTCTTAGGCACTTGTCCCACCGCCGACGATGAAGCGGGAAGCGAGTGTGAGTTCCGTAAGTTTTATCGCTGGACTATGAGTAAGCGAGTGTGCGTGTACGATGGGCGATTACTCAAGCCACTTGCTCGCGGAGACAATAGGGAGCAAAAATGTGCATGATTTAAATAGATTTCTTAATTTAATACTCAAACTAAAGGTTTCTAATAGATTAATATTAAAGTCACCACAAACAATTATGTAGTTGTTTACCAGTAATGACATATTTTTTTTGAAGTTTCATTCATCTCTTGAAAACAATCATAAAACGCTGAAGGAGGTTTGTATACACTCAGTACAATAAGCCGGTCCAGTTCCACACAGACGATTTCTATTGTACGCTCAACCGAGAGGTTCACAATATCTTTACGTTCCTTTTTAAGTGTAGGTATAATTTAATAAGATTTAAGAGCCACCACCAATTGCATTTTCTCGACTGAACGAACTATCAACCTGATGATTTTTAAAATTAAACATGAATTGATGACTTCTAAGCCAATGTTCTGTGAAACTAAATATATCTATATTGTTACAATTCATAAATAATTCAATTTCTAAGTCCTCACCCATCAATCATTGCTTTATTATATAATTATGTGATTATATGCATCAGGTTGATAAAGTTTACATTGATTTTTAATTTTCTGGATGGATTTTTCTTAGTTAAATTATTATTTTTATGAAAGTTATAACAATTATTATTTATTAATATGCAAGACAAGAGGAATTGTCTATTGGCTCATAATCTATTATTCTATTGTACGGTTCTTGAGCGAGAAGGCATATCAACCAATTCGAACCTACTGGGGACATGCATGGGCCATTCTCCTTATTTTATCTAAGATTTTATCCTTAGATTAGGCAGTGTGTTTATGTCCCAGTGTCAGCAGCGACCTTAGTAGGCTGATGAATGTGACTAGCGTAATTTTCAATCAAAGTGGACATTATGCTCAAATTAATACTCTTAACAATTATAAATATACCAAATCAATAATTGCATCAAGTATAACAGTTTTGAGTCATTTATCGTACTTGATTGCTAATACCTATGCCTATCCATCGAGTTTGAACAAGCAGTTTTCTAGCAATCAATGTGCACTCTAAAAGCGCTTACTGACATTCCTGCCGCAGGGACAATCTAGGGTGTAAGAGTGGGGATGATCCTAAATTGCCTCCTGAATTGTGATGTGTGTAGGCAAGTTGGGGCAATTTTCTAAATCGGGCCTGCGGCAGAGCGGCAGGAGCGCGCGACCATCCTTGCTTCCTAGATTGTCCCAACCGCCCTGCACGTTGCCGCGTGTGTAGCGCGATTGGGGCATTTTCTCAATCAGTTGGTTAGTAGCTGTCACATGCAGCGCACGCATTTTGATCAAGATGACGGCAGATCATAATGAGTATGAAGTTTGCGAAGTATATAAAGACCGGCCCCACATGTGGGATAAAAAAAACAAACATTAAGTATTTATATTTTTTTTTATTAATTTTCATTTTTTAAGTATGTGACTGCCGATGTTTAAATCTAAAGAAAATATTACTAGAAAAATAGAAAAATGTAGTATTTTTTAATTTTTCTTGTAATATTTTCTTTAGTTTCAAACATTGAGCAGTTACATGCTTAAAAAATTGAAATTATGACTCTAATTGCTATTTCTTCTTTTAAATGTTTAATACTTTTAAAGGTATCATTGTCGGTTACATATAATGCGAAGAGATGGCGCTGCCTTGCAGCTTAAGAAAGGCTAGAAAGAATTCGATACGGCCGTCAGGGCCGCGGTAGCATAATTGATCACTGCATTCGCCCGGATAGCGAAGGGTGCGGGTTCGAGTCCCGTCTGCTGCCAGGTCCGCGTGGTTTTTTTTCTAATAACATAAACATTACTTATTTACAATATATTTCTTTCTGTTGCCAATTCTTCACCCAGTATTTCCCTTTTTACGGTAACATATTTTTTGATTACACTGGGACCATCATCAACGCGTGTGTTTAGCCCGACATACGCCCGAACACTGAATAGCAGGCTTGTGTGCAGAGACAAGCCGATATTGGCCCGACCGTTTATCTAGGGGCAATTCTTTCAGACGAGACAGCTAATAAAGAGCTTGTCGGTTTATCATTAATAAAATGAGTTGTTATCATCCGCCTACACTATAGATCAGCCGCAGGCGCAGGAAAGGAAGCCCTGCTCAGTCAGTTTAGTGAGGACAGAGCTCTGCGCCAGTCGCACCGCTATATCGCTTATCGTACGCGATCGTAACAAACGTATTTACCTCGTCGACAACCTGACAGCATAATTAATATAATAATGGATAACACAGAATTCAGCAGCGAGGAAGCGCTAACCGCGAAAATTATCACAATGTCGTGTTTATTTGCCATATCCATGGGAGTGGGTTTGATACCTCTGCTCATATCCCTAAAGTTCGATTGGTTCTCCAGAAAAAGTGATGGTGAAATTCGCACCAATAATCGACTAGTCATGGGTCTTCTAGCGTTCGGTGGTGGCGTCTTGTTCTCTACTACTTTCATGCATCTGCTGAACGAGGTTGATGAAAATATTGAGATATTACAAGGTGAGTTATAAATTTAAGTAGAACAGTAAATTTTATGAATGACCTTAAAAAAGGAATAGATAATAAAATCTATTTGTTTTGCGACTAAGTCTCTCTCACATTTATTTCACTGTGTAATCTTGCAAAGGTTCGGACTTCGGAGTAAAATATTTGTTAGTAGAAATTTTCTCAATTAAATAGTTTCGTATTTTAATGTTTTATCAAATCTTTACAAGGCTTTGGTCGTTCGTTCGATATTTGCATGGGGGAAGGAGTATCCGTAGTAATCACGAGTAAACATGGAGTAACTATAAACCAGCCAATAGTTTAGCAGCAACTTTGTTCTAGGTACGGTAATTCTTTTATAAAAATGGTAGGTCTCTCTTATTTCATTCATAATGGTGGACATCCACTCTTGCATCCGACGAAGCAATTTAATTCTTGAAAATGTACAATCAATGGCACAACAGGTTATTCGAAATCATAAAATTGTCATGTTATCTTAACTTCTACAAATAAAGTTCTTCATTGGAAACATTTGGAATGCGTTGACCCATAACATCGTTGAAAGAATTTGCTGCTAATCGTATGCCTAAGGTCGCGTACGTAACATCACTCTCGCATTGAATTAACCAAGATCACGTCTGAATTAAATCCCATCCACCATAAAATGCGTACAAATTCTACCGAATACACCTATTTGTTTCTTAAGTTTTCATTAAATAATAAAGCTATCTTTTTGATAAAAAAATTGTAAAATTGGTCGTTTCAAGTTTGCATATATGTTCGCAAATAGTAAAGATTTCAAACTTTTTCAGCTAAAAACTTTTTTAGAAAACTAAGAACTTAAAAATAAAAAGCTTGTAACTTTTGAAAAAGGCTATAAAATTATTTTTTGTTGAATTTGCTAGTACAAAAACTAAGGGAGTTATGGTAAATAATTAAGTATTACAACACTGTTAAAGAAGATTCATCATTCATCTTTTCCCACATTACGAGACATATTAATACATACAATTGTGTGAAAAGTTCTATGAGTTGTACCCGAAAAAAAAATTTTTTTTGGATATTTCACGTTGAAACTTATGATTTTGGCGTTTGACGAAAAAGAACCTAACAAGCTATTACTCCGTTAACAGTCTAGTCAGTATATATATATATATATATATTTTATAAGATTCAATTTTACTCCACATGGTTTTTTTCATAAAATACTTATTCTCAGAGTTCTTTCTGACTGTGTTTTTTTTTGCCTAGAAGTACCTAATGACTTTTAGTTAAAACTTTAACGAACAAAAGGTGCTAACCTATAATTATATTTAATAAAATAATGTTCATGCCTGAGAAGGGGCCACTGCCCGGGAAATAGCAACCCTTGGCACATCAACAAATTTGAGGCAGATGGTGAGGAGAGCCCAAAACCATGTTTGGTGTAAATTGGTGCTGTTTGACAGAATCGCAGGTTTTCCCGTTCTTTCCGTGCATTAACTGGACTATTTCTGTAGACATTTAGTATAATAAGCAACGATATTAAAAATAAGACATAACTTAGAAGCCAACCCTTGACACGTCATCTTGTCAAGGGTTGGCTCTATGCAATGATGGTACAAACATGGAGCAACATGGGTACAAATTATTTATGTACTAAGCGCAATGGTGTGACAACGGGTCGGGTACACGTTGGGTGTAACATGCCAAAGAGATCAATTTTTTTAACAGAAACTGTTTTCGTGTGATGATAGTCATAGTATAGGTAGGTATTCTGCTTTTTCTGATTGTAGGAATTACCTACAGGTAACTTAATTGAAGCATGTAAATTTATCAATAAAAATGACAATTTACGTATCTAATTAATATCGATTACGTTTTTTCAAAGAAGGCCTAGAAAATTAACAACTTTTCCTAATGTTAAGAGTCAGTAGAAGAGCTCCAGTTGCAAAGATCTGATGCCGTTACAGACCAACGATATTTTAGAGACACATACTCGTAAGTGTCGCATTAACTGAACTCACCTAACCGTCTTAAGTTGGGAAACGTTGTTTCTGTAGAAAAATATATCAATAGACCTACCTAATGCTCATATCAATCTGAGGCCTAATTTTATTTCTCTGCATCAGTCTTCTATATGAATTTAAGATTGTGCTTTTAAAAATAAACTTCCCTTTACGTGCGTTACATTGGAGCCTTGATATTTTCTACCCTTTAGATGATGGAGGAGAAGGCCTTGAATGTGACTGGCTCTACAAACTTGGTCCTGATGACCTTAATTTTTCTTTTTAACAACTTCAGCTTATTTTCACTACCTAAGTAAGGAGTCTGAGGACGTTTCTTATTACATCAAGTATACCTTATTTAGTACACGCATATAAAGTTCGTTTTAACATGCAATTTAGCTTCTTGTCTTAAGCAGGCAATATTTAATGAAAAATCATCAGAATTTACATTATTTCATTATTGTGTTGAGGTATCTATGGAAAAAATAAAACTACATATAAAAATTACAATGTTTAAACACACGTTTTAAATATTCCCTGGGTATTCAGAATATTATTATTACTGCGTCATGTGTAATCTTGTATGAAGAGCTGTCTCTTTTATTATTTACATTTATGATTATTGCACAACAATGTGATGATCTACAATCATGAGATACAACAAAAATATACCATTAGCTTATGTAAACATCATATCAACATTTTGCTGCACTTCAATACCACGCAACAACAATTTTTTTTTATTTAATACTTCAGACCCTCTGGTGTCGATTCCGGCATGATTATCTAAACTTAATCTAAATTACTATATCTGTAGTGCTATTATGTAAAAGGCCCTGTTAACGATCAAATTTGATTAACAAACTTCACGTTTCACGTAGTAATTTGTTTGTCAAACGCATCAATCATAGCCTGAAACCTAACCTTAAACGATCAAAGTTTGACAAACATCACACGGGAATTTGACAAACAAATTTGATCGTTTACATTACAGGGCTCTTTAGAACAAACTCACCTTTCATCTCCGAATCCTCAATGTGATTTAAAATTAGATAACGAATTACATATAAATTTCAAATCGCACCGGTAAATTCAGTGGTGAAAAGTGAGTTTGGTCTTATAGAATAGCACTGCAGTCTCTACTTTTCATTCTGTATAGCGAAAGTTTTCAGGGTTTCCGGTAAGGGGGACAAAGCTAAGGGTATAAATGCGTGAATGTTTAATAGTTTGTTCTCACAGAATAGCACTGCTGTTTTCTTATGTCGGTTCCAGCCCAACCCGGTCTACGGGTGCTGTGTTACTGGGAGAAACTCCAGAACTAGGTACCACTATTTGTGGAATGTCCATTTAAAACACTTATCGTAAAGTTCTTGCGTACTTTGTAGACAATGTCATGAAGTTGATTTTTCAAATATTATAAGTATGCACAAACGACTTATTTAAACTGTGAAGATTCGTAATGCTTAATATAATAATACTTGTCAAAGTTATCAGCATTGCAAGTGGAAATTTTACGCATTCATTTAACAGCGCTATGCTACTCGTATCTATTAATAATAGTAAACCCGTTTTATATTTAGGATATACAATAAAGTTATATAGACTTGTAACTTAGTATTTTAACATTTTTAATAGTTTTTTATAGTGTATTTTGTTGGTGACGTACTCGCAGATGATATGAGCATCATCACCGTGCTAAAAAAATGAATTTGCTAACCTAGATTTTATGTTGTTAGTAAAATAAACCACTGCTCACACTAGTAATTATTTTATTTCTTATAATCACAATACACTCTTACATGTTTAGACGAAGATCGATTATGTCATTCTAGTATAAGTCCAATAACCACCATTTTGTCAAAGACATGAGTTCCTTTCATAAACAAACTATTATTTAGCTACAGAATAAACACAAAGTTCCTAACATACAACATTTGTCTCCTAAAAGATTTGCCATACACATAAAAGTGCCTAACCCTTTTTTTTACCCATGCTTTTACAAATTTTCCTTTAATATTATTTGAAAAAACGAGCGAGCCTTACAGTAGTCACGTATGATGTGTAACATTTGAAACCTAACCTTATATTAGTAAAAAAAGAAATAAAACCTACTACAAAACGAATAAGCCATTTGAACATTATGTTCTAAAATCAAATCAAATAGCGCGCGCTTTCGCGACCTGTTACACACTTCCGTCCCATTTCACGAAATCACTCCCACAAATTGCAGGAAAGCGAGAGGAAAGGTGTTACAGATCAAAAAGACCATGACTCACACGCTGTCAAACAAATCCACGTATTTAATATCGTTGATCCACGCATCTGAAATGCGCCGCTTGCCACTGCATAGATAGCGTGCGCTGCAGTAGTCATGACATTTAGTATTCGTTGGTGATTAGCACTGTTGATTATGTAGGCTATTAGATAATAGTTGTCTCAGGCTTCTTTAGAATGTTGCTATGCAAGTGACGTATCCTATTCGATAAGGTATTTAAGCAAAGTTTACAAGAACAAAAAAACTACTGCATCCATATTGGCTGCATTAAAATTCTGTGTCTGCAATGTCTGCAATTTGATATAATTATGTGTGTTAAGTCTCGATGACAATGGGGCGAGTTTACGAGCTACAAGCCAGCGAGTTTGCTAGCAGCTTGTAAACTCTCCCTGTATCATCGACTTTTTACCATCTGCTACTCGCCCCGTGTCATCGAGGCTTTATAATCATTCACGGGAACCTCTACCTACTAATGAATATTTCGTACGTAGGCAGGTAGATAAAACTAGACCAAACTCCGTTTGCCTCTACTGATGCCGGCACTTCACACGGCTAATCGTATTTGCTATTCATATCAGTCTCTCCTTTTCATTTCCTATACATTATGTTAAAGGATAAACTATTTAGGTAAAGTTTAATTTATGTACAAAAGCAAACAATATGATGGTTCGGGAGCCCAGGCGGGATTTTTTTTATGTACTCGAGCGCGACAGAATAATGTAAAAGGAGCATTATTTTATTTGTGATTAGAAATGTATAATATTATCCCTCTAGTACCTCCTATCCAAAAGTTTGACGATTTGAACGCGAGCGCGACCTAAAATTATGGCCGTTTGTTGATTTTTTCTTGCTGCCTGGTTGGGCTCTATAAAAGAACTCAGGTATGATGGGAGTACTTCACAAAGTGCAAGGGTGCTCTTTATGTTATTCTGTCACGCTCGAGTAAATTCCAATATCCACGCTTGGGCTCCCCTACTATTAAGGCGCTAATCCGATCTTGGCTGCGGCTGCAGGCTGCACAGGCAGCGGCTGCAGGCTACACAGGCAGCGGCTGCAGGCTGCACAGGCAGCGGCTGTAAGTAGCCTGGCTGCGGATGCACGACTGGTTTATATGCAGAAGCTGCAAGTGCAATCTGCCAAGCAAACATCGGCATAGTACTGCGGTATTTACACAGAAATAAATGCTGTGGGTATTTACCTACATTTCAATACTAAACTAAAACTATCGTAAGGGAAAACAAAATTTAACAAAAACTTCTACTTCACAACCTGATCAAATTATGAAAAGCCAAACAATAGCCGGAAAGAGTCTAATTTTAATTGGTCAATAAAATGATTGTGCGGTATGTTATTTACCTACGAACCACAGATAATCGCAAAGTAATTAAAATCAAATAAATCACACTGTCATAAATGATCAAAATATTATCAATCTGTCTCTATTCCCTATCATTATCGTCATCTAGATGAAGTAGATTATGTTTATTGTATAAGGATGTACTTCATTGTATTGGATTTTGTTATTTTTGCTGTGCTATCTGTGTACGGCGCTTATAGCTTATTATTACATTATAAAACTTAAAATGCTGAAGTTGTACTAGCACACGTAGGGTTCCGTACTTATATGCTCAACTTTTCACCGCAAAATAGCTTCGTATCCTTCTTACTCCTTTGCGTTTTACTAAATACTTTACAGTTGGACAGGGAATCCTCAGTGACTCCATTCACTACAAGTAGATAATTATGTATATGGGTTGGCGCAGAACGGTCTCGTCTTGGCTCTTTATATTCTTTGTAGGTAGTGATTGTGACCGTGTCCTAACCATGGAGGAAAATTGATCTTAACTATCATTCTGTTAAGAAAACGAATGAAAATTTTACTAGAATAAATTCGCCAGAGTCTTCCACTGACCGGGTGGATGTACTAACTTGCTATTTTACCGAGACCTTAATGTAAATAACTTAATATTTGACTAGTAAAATTTACTTTAAGTTCAGCATTTTATTGCTTATAAATAAAATAAAATTTTACGAAAGCTTTGTTTCCTTTACAGAGGAGGGCCTTATGCCAGAAATGCCATTTTACCTCGCCGGCCTGATCATGTCTGCGGGATTCTTCATGATGTACCTAGTTGAGGAACTGGTCCATCTATACATCCACACTAGGAACAAGAAAAATGCTGACAAACTCAGTAGAACTTTCAGCATACGCCGATACAGCAACGTGATCGAAAACAGGGAAACGGAGAATGGGAAAGCTGTTGATCACGAAAGTGCCGCTCTCGCTGATCTTCAGGAGACGCCTGCTGAAGATTCAGTGATGACTGCTTTGAGGGGTCTGCTAATAGTCCTGGCCCTGTCTATACACGAGTTGTTTGAAGGACTCGCAGTTGGTTTGGAGTCATCAGTTGCAAACGTGTGGTGAGTGAATGACATCCTGGTTTGTGATAAGCTTAATTTACACCGGGGCTTAAATACTTATTCCGCTTAATCAATAAACGCAGAATAAGCTTGGATAAGTTACTCCATGTTTTGTCTCCGGTCATTGAATGACAAATGGTATTTGAGTGATAGGAAAAATAGGGCTTATTTACAATAGTCTAAGCTGATTCCATAGATGAATGATTTGTCTCGTTTCACTCGACGAAACGAGACCAATCATTTATCTATGACTGATTCCTCATTTATAATTAAGGTGGATTGTGTTTTTGTTTAGACTTTCTATCGTGTAATGAAACTAACATAATGGAAAGATAAGTATTTGCGTAAAAGAGACTATCTAATAAGTGAGCCGCGTAGATGTTAAGATAGGATTACTTTGATAAAATAGAAATCTCGTGTAGAAGTGATTTAATAATAATGTATCAAAAATTTATACGTTAGGAACATTTGTATCTTCACGCACCTACACTTTTGTGTACGTACTTACACTGGTCACTAGGTCTTGTGTTCCTCAGTATCCAGACATTTTGTAATGTGATGATTTGCTAAATAGACGTTCTGCGATACACACCATCTGATAGTTGGACGTTTTGCTACATGGACATTTTGCTTATTGGGCTTACTGTACCCTTAGCACGAACCAATATCGAATTCTAATCGTTTGCGAGTCCGAAATGTCATTGTCAAATGTGTACCTACTTATTTTTAGTTCTCGTAAAAAGTACGTAACTTTTGTGGTGCTGTTGTTCAAGTTTCCATACAAAATTTGATATTGACATTTCGCACTCGCAAACTATTCGAATTCGATAATGGTTCGTGCTAGGGGCACTGCTTATTAGACGTTACGCGCTGTTGGATATTTTGCTACTCAGAGGCACAAGCCCGTATTTTGATAGCTCCGCAATCGTTCGTAATCGTCAAATTTTGTATGAAAAAGCTAGTTTGTATTTACGTCCGATAATGAGGTATGCTTAGTTTTCATAGAATATTTGACGATGTGATACGATTCCGGAGCTCTCAAAATTCGTGCATGGGCCTCTTGTCTGTACCCTTTGCACGAACCATTATCGAATTCGAATAGTTTGCGAGTGTTAAATGTCAATGTCAAATTTTGTATGGAAACTTGAACAGCAGTGCTACAAAGTACGTAACGAGAACTAAAAATCAGTACCCCCAGTACGAACCATTATCGAATTCGAATAGTTTGCAAACCGAAATGTCAATTTCAAATTTTGTATGGAAACTTGAACAGCAGAGAGAGAGAGAGAGAGAGAGAGAGAACTAAAAATCAGTACACATTTGACAATGACATTTCGGACTCGCAAATGTTGCGAATTTGATTTTGGTTCGTGCTAGGGGGTACTTACTGTACACATTTTTCAATGAAATTTCGGACTCGCAAACGTTGCGAAATTGATATTGGTTCGTGCTGTAGGTACCTACCTATACAGGGTGAAATTGAATGTTTCTATGAAACTTCGTGAGATTGATGGGTTACGTGTATAGAGTATGCCTAATTTTTTTCGGATTTTTTAAAATATTTTTTTTCGTTTTTTAATTTTTTATTTGGTTATTTTTTTGTCATTTCTTCCTTATGAGTAATTATTCATTTTAAACACGTCTACATAGAAGTTATAAAGCAACTTAAAATAAGCACTACTAAAAAAACTTGTTTAAAATGAATAACTACTCAAAACGAGGAAAGGACATAAAAATACACAAATTATAAATAAATACATGAAAAAAATATACTTCAAAAAAATCCGAAAAAGACAGGCATACTCTATACACATAACCCAACAATCTCACGAAGTTTCATAGAAACATTCAATTTCATCCTATATAATATCTATTTCTCAGGTAGGTTTTCTGTTTTACCGTTCATATTTTATTAGGTAGTTAGCTACATAGGACATGCTATGTATTTATTTAAGAAAGATTTGTATCAGGGATCTTTGGTTTGAAAATAAACGAACGATTATGCAGTTGGGTGATATCAGACATCGAGATCATATACCTGAGCGATATCAAGTAAAACTTGTGTTATCAAACGTACGTGATCACAATATGCATGTACGGTATTAGTTTTTGATGTCATCAAAAGGCATCAATGAATTTTTAACATTTATAAATAGATTATGATGTTGGCCTAAGATTACCATAGTTCCATGACCATGGCATGGGGAACAAATTCTACCCGCTAGACGAAGTATACAACGTCATCTTTAATTATTTTGTGGTCGCTTACTTGTAAAGCTGTTAAGTAGGTACTGTTTTGAGCTGCTGGATGTCTTTCACAGCTGTAAGTATCAGAATTCATTACCGATAGAAGTTAATTTATAATGAATGTAAAGGGATGTACAGTCTGTCTGTCTGTAGGAATACTTCTCATGGGTGTAGCTATGGGGTGGCATGGCAAGGGTGGGCAATGCCCACTCGAGAATTTGAGTTAATTACAATGACCTAGGAAAAATCCTAGAGGGGCGCTTCAGCTGCTGCAAGGATATTCCAGTATTTAAAATACGCCACGTCACTATCACGTTTAGTACTGCTGGATATCGTTTATGGCTGTATCATATTTGTTTATTTCACTAAGTAATAATGATTTTTGACACAGGTCAACAAATCGTTGAGAGCTTGACGACACATGAGTCACCTTATCAGAAAGTATGATTTTAATGTTCAGATAACTCAAATACTTTTAGACGATCACGTATCTCGGTATCTCAATTCAAGTGGTTTGCTTCCTTGCCAAATCACATAATTTATTTCTCGATACCTACTTAGTTATGTACCCATCTACTTTACCTTATTTGTTGAACCATTGATATAACTATATCAAGCACTTCTCACAACGATATTTAATACCGTTGCCTTCTCAACTTAAGTTATAGGTGATCATAGGTGTCGATTCTGGCATGATTCTCTAAACCTAAACTTAAATTTGACAGCAGTGTATCATTGTCATTCTTTGTACAGAATGAAAAGGAGAGACTGATGTTAAGAGAATCATGCCAGAGTCGACACCATAGTCTGCATATTCAACATTGGCGTAGCTAGGGATTTCTCCTCTGGACTAATGAATGTTAGTCCAACTGAACATCAACGACGCCGACGGGTCGACGGCTAAAGCGTGCGGCTTGCAGGCGTCGGCTGCAGATGCCGCTGCCCTCGTCAGCTGCAAGTCGCTCGTGTATATGAAGCCTAAATCCAATAAATGGCGGACTAGTAAATTTTTGTGAACTAGTTTGTTGCGAGAATTTAAATAAACAAAGTCTGGCCTTCAATTTATTGAAATTAAATCTTTTATATTTAAAAACTTTTTAAATTAATAACTTATTAATATAAAACCAACCAGTAATATCTCCTGTGCTCCACAGGTATATGTTTATGGCAGTGTCCGCGCACAAGTACTTGATAGCGTTCTGCGTGGGCGTGGAACTCATAGCAGCCGGTACCAAACGCTGGCTGTCAGTGGTGTACATCTTCACCTTCTCCTTCATGTCGGCGCTGGGCATCGGAGTGGGCATCCTCATGGTAGGAGGCGCGGGAGCCGCCGCGGCCGGTATATACTCCGTCGTTTTGCAGGTACGTTATTTATGGTGTATACCTATCCCAGTGACTTATTGCAACGTTTGAACTATGAAATGTCATAGAAGCGCCCACACCGCTACAAAAAACCGCCAGAAATAATATATTATGGACAAAAAATATTGTTTTTCTACGGCACAGTTATGCGGACACGCTCTATGCGTACTAGTACTTTTACTTATTGCATAACTTATAGTTTGCATTTAACCATGACTGGTAGGTATTATCGAATGTGAAACTAAAATTGTTGATGTACCATAATATCATAATACGAATGTAAACAATTTCATGGCTTGAGAGAGATAAAGTTGTAAAAAAGATCAATTAAATGGTCGATTAAACCACATACATTATTACTTTCATACCTTAGAAAATCTAAAACGATAAGATGTAAGTACTGATATCGTAAATAACTCAAGTCACGTTCAGTCAATCAGTATTGTAAATCAGTTAATTATCGAGTCATTGATATAACATTTAAATAACTGCTTGCACTTCATTAGAGTTCCGTGTCAACAAGAAAAGATTCTTGAAAATTATTATTATTTTTATTTAATCTAAGTTCGCTAAGCTCAGACTATAAGAATCTTTTTTTTGTATCTGGAAAATACGAGGCCGTAACCCACACACGGAACGTGCACACCGGAAAACTTGCATTTTGCAAGGGCTCCGTAGGCTTTCCCAGACTATGAGAACCTAGTAGAAAGCTGTAATTTAATGGATGGATATGATGGATATTAAATACGTATAAACCACGCCGAAAGTATCGGGATAAAATAGTACGTTGAAACTTTTTTTTTGTTTTTTCATTAGGTATTTCAATTTGCACCCACCGCTGATACTTTTAGAATCTACTTTCATATTCATATTTTTCTTTCCAGGGCCTGGCGTGTGGTACTCTACTTTACGTGGTATTCTTCGAAGTTTGGCAGCGCGACGGCACTGGTTTATTGCAGTTCGTGTGGTCGTTCCTGGGTTTTGCAATCATGACCATCATAGGACTCTTAGTAAAAATCTTCTTTGAGTGAGCTCTTATTTACACAAGATTTTCTGGACTAGTACCCGTGGCTCCACCAAAATCTCCCCGTCATGGATCCACGAGTATTTTTTTTACTCGTTGTCCCACCCCGTTCCGTAAAGTGTTCGCCAGTGGGTCTACAGGTAATTTTTAACATGGTCCGAATTAATTGGTAAAAATTGATTAAATAATTATAGCCATTTTGTGGTGCAAATATCCCCTGAGATATTATATTCTTGATAATAAAAAAAAAAAACGATTTCCCTTGAGATCAAGTTTAAGAAATGTTAATTTTTCCAGTGCCACATCAACTGTAATCTCACCAGTAAAGAGCACCACAAAATAGTTTTTAATTACATTTTACCACAGTGCACGGTAAAAAATAATGACCTATAAAGCCTCTGGCGAACGATGTTCAGAACGGTGAGACTACGAGTAAATAAAAACCCCCGTTGACCCACCAGGGGGGACATGTTGGTGTGACCACGGGTAATAGCCCGATTTTCTTACATGAACTGTGTTCAAGATACATTATACGCTCTAGCCAAGTGACTTCGTGAGAACAGTCAGCATAATAATAGTACAATTAAAATCATATTTTTAATTATAATTTTACCCTTGCGCATTATTTATTATTATCTATCTACTTACCTGCTTTTGTAATATAAAGTGAATCTGTAATGTAATGTTGCGTTAATAATGGTTATAAATATTGCATGATGATAAATCTAAAGTAGTAAGATTCTTTATTCAAAAATAAAATTAAAATGGTAACTTCGCTACAGCGCACAAAATAATGTGGCACATAGGATCTCTTTCGCACCAGCTTCTTCTCAACTTAATAGAAAATACCACTCTGTATTGTTGTATGTACAGATCGCGCCATACTGCTGTACCGCTCTGAACACTGCACTTAGGGAATTTCACTCTTTGAAAAAAAATCTATAAATGTATTATTGCAATAGTTTGGACAAAAAGGAGTCGGAAAATGTTAGTATCAGTTCAATAACAAAAGGCATTTCAAAATGAAAAAAGTTTTTGAAGTTATACTTCTTTAGGCGCGTTAAAAAAATTATGAGAGTGAAATTTTAAGATGTGCGCGCATCACTGTAACACAAAATTTTAACACCATGAAGTTGGTTAAGAAAATCTACCAACAAAATAGAATCTCTATTTAGTGGGTGCTAACGACTGCATTGTGAAGGCCTATCAAAAGTATTTATTAATCTGGAACAACGGAACCAAAGCGCGATTCAGGAGACTACAGCGCCATCTCTTGACCATTGGTGTAGTAGAACCAAAAACCACATCTTTATTTTTTGTAATAAAGTAACAGTTATAGGTATTCATATTTATAATATTTATCCACATGTTTCTAGTTTGTATATTCGGAATACGTGTTTGAGTTTCATACAAGTGCAAATCACATATGTTCTAATAAATTATATTCAGTAGCGATTTTAATTGAATATTTTGATTATTTATTTATTTTTTCAAATTAAAACTGAACTTTATTGACTGTGTCCTTTTCCAGACTTTTTATTAATTTATTGTAATTAATTATTTGCATGCAATTAAAAACTAATTTTAAACGATGCCATAGAAGGATAACTTCTCACGCGCCTACATAAGTACACGCACCCGTTTTTTTTTATTTGTTTTAAAATACCATGAAATAGTAGACGTGGTAGCCGCCATATAATAACGTCACACCGCTAGCGCTAGTATATGCCAAAGTATTTTTTTTTATAATTTATTCATGACCATTGATACAAGTCCTTCAGTCGTATACATAAATACAAATCTTAATCTTCTTTTTTTTACATTTAGAATGTCGATGTGACGCATTCTATTTTTTCTTGGAGTTTTTGGCACGAAATGTATCGAGCTGGTTTTTTCGATAAGCTTCTGTGAGGTAGTCAACACTACAATAAAGTTCTCACGTCCACTTGACCGGATTAGAGTATTTTTTGAAGATTCCACTAATTCTTCAGTTGCGCAGATGGTTGTAACACAAAATCACACCAGTTTTATTTCACAATATTCACTATGAACGAATTTAAGAATAATTAAAATAAGACGCCAACCACACTCGATGAAATCCCGCCAAAAACTCATGCCAAAGTATATCAGCTGCAGTGTTGCCAGATCTTTAAACCGGTGTTTCCGTAATTTTCATTGCCAAACTCCGTATGAACGTCCACTGCGTCCATCGTTTTCGTTTAACTACGTGCGAATTTTGAAAATGTTAAATTTAAACGCTTTTAAGGCACTTAAACGATTGATTAAAAAAGAGTTTTTTTAGTAACATATTAGCTCCTTAGAATTAATTTGAGACACTTTTCAAAAATGGTTGTAATACCCTATTCAAAAGACTAATGCAAAATACAGGTAGGTATACAGTTGGACGAACATTATGTAGGTAAACGACTGTACACTTGCGTGAAGCAGCTTCAGAGCGGACTAGAAGTTTGGCGCGATCTGTACCTCTTTCTTGTTATGTGATGTATAAAGATATGCCGTACTCTGTGACCACACGCACAAAAGATCAGGTGGTAGAGTGGAGTCCCCATCAAGTAGTTGAGTTCTCAAACAAGTGACAATAATAATAGCTGGATTTAGCATGTTTTTAATTTCTTGTTCTCATGCACACCACTCATTAAAAAAACACTGTTTCAACGAGTTTATGATGCGATTTTTAAACCTTTTTTACGTTTCAGAGTTACAGGCTACGTTACAGGCTCCGTTTTCAAAGGTATAATTTTTAATTAATTTACTGATATGTAGAAAAGTATTAAAAAGCCCATCTTAAACCTGTTGAAACAGTGTTCTACATAACGAATTTATTTGATGTGCGTAAGGTGCTTTTTCAGCTTAATTTGATTTCGGTTAGGTATACACCCCGGCAAACTTTTCGAGCAATGACCATGGACAAGTAACCCTGCCAGTAGAAATTTTAAATACAAAAACGTCTACTGCGTAAGTTTGTCTGTGGTTTTGGTCAAGAAGATTGCCGCTACCTATAACATCTACAAGACGTGCTACTATGGACTTAGGATTTAGTCACTAATACTAGGCCACGGCTTATGTGAATATTGCATTTAATTGAACTCGACGTATTTAAAATCATATTTGTTAGATGATGAGGGTGGTTAGTGTGGCAGTTAAATAAAACTTCTGCCCCAGCTTCGCGTCTGGACTCTGCCGCCACCACTTAACATCAGGTGTGGTGGAGTAATTTGCCTACTTACCTAGTTATAAGAAAATACAGTCACAATTAGGATAACATGTTTGTTTGAAACACAAACATGTTATCTTAAGTATTATTAGCTTGTATTTATTGTAAAATATGTAAATAAATAGAGAATTTAAAATATAAATATGATGAAAGAGTTTTCATTTAATGCTTTCTTCTTTGTAAAAAGATTTAAACCACAATGTTAGATTAAACTGCGATTAAGGGGGCGGGGAGAAAAAAATGCGATCAACACGCCGATCATGGGATTGGTTGGGATTTCCGTTTAACATTATCTTGCCCAATAAATGGAAAACCGAATTCATTTGCAGATTATTGATTTGTCAAAGCATTTTTTTTTTGTCTATTTGCGTGTCGCGTTAGTATACAAGTTTCGTTGTATGAGTTTGGAACCATGTTTTAGAGAGAAATGCTTTCATAACATTTTTAATTCGTTGCTATTAAAATCTTAAACGCTACAGGACATTTGAAAAAAAAAACAACTGAATAAGTTAACAACTCAATAGTGTAATTAAAATTAACATTTCATACTATTCGTTATAATAATCTATTTATAAGGAAAATAGATATAAATTACTTTTATATGCTAATGTTAATTAATATTTTTAGGCTGAATCAAAACAGAATAATATGCAGGCGGTTAAATTACACATGTATGTATCTGATAAGTCCAACAAGATATGAAAACAAAACTTTTAAATATTAAAATTGTACTTACCTACAATAAACTTTACGATCGCGTAAGTTGGAGCGCAATTTACACCTTAGAAACTAATACGATTGAGAGAAAAGACATTGAGGAAATTTCGAAAACTTACAGCTATCTGGTACACGACAGAATTATTTATAATAATAATAATATTATTTCAAGCCTTGCCATTAACTTTCCTATATTCATTATTACTAAGGCCGGCACACTTTATTCGTCATACTTACAACAATACACTTTCAGTAATAATAAATTTTTGAACGTTCAACTATGATATTTATACTTAGTAACACTATTGCATGTTTTGTAATCATATTACAATAGTATTATTTAGCAATAGGATGATTATATATTTCAGATAACAAAGGGCGCTTTATACAGATCATCGGGCATGCCTCTAGGCCTGTTCATCGTTTTTTTTATTATTCTGGCGATTTAATGGGTACTGATGGTCCATTTAAAACACCTTTTGGTTGACTGGCTTAATACATTCTTATAAATAGTTAATTATACTTATAATTATGTAAAATAGAGTCAAAGCGTAAATAACCATGAATTGAACTTATTATATACTAAATGCAACGCGTGACTATGAAATCATGTTCACGGAAAGATTTCAAAATAAACTATAATTCACAGGCACCATTATCTTAATCTAACAAACGATCAAAACCATTAGAATGGACTATTCACACAAGAGCTGACAATAATAATACATTTTAGTAAACTGAAATCAAGATTTTATCAAATACCTAACTTTTAAATCTCACTAATATTTTATTTGAAGACTTTTGATGTACATTCTTTTATTTAATATTACATACTTTAAATTTAGTATTAAATTAAGTGCAGTACATTTTCTATTTCAATTTGTTATTATTTGAGCGCGGAAAGATTGCAGTATTGTTAACACCTATACATAAATAATGACATATATATAAATAATAAACATGAAAACTTCATCTCATAATAATTACCTAATGTTGAGATAGTTTTAATTTTAAAGACATTAATATTATGTCTTATCATTAAAATGCTGGATTATTTTACAAACTGAATTTGGCACATTGCAAAACTTAAACAGGTTAAAATAATAGGCAACTTAATAACTATTCAATTTGTTTTTAGAAAACATATATTATATAGTACAGCAGTCAAAATTAATTCTTTAGCTTTATAGATGTCTAGAACAAGGCAGAACTAACGTAACGTAAGTACAGTTCAAACAAAACGAAACTTATTTGTTAAATGCCTATCATGACACAATATTTGATTGTAATGCTGCACCATTAATTTTTGATGATATGTTATCGGTGTAAGTATTTGAAACATCTCATAATAACATTTATAACAGTTTAAAACATGGGAACATAACTGTACCTACCATAATCAACGTTAAATACAGTCATTTATTATTGCAGTTAAAATGACGCTCACCTGACTTTACACTAAGTTTACTACATTTTTTAATATTTTATTTAATAAATGAAATTTCTGAAAAGTCGATATAATTTTACTTATTGCCATGCGTCATATAACTTTAACATCATAGTGATAATCAAATAACTTTATTTCTAATGCGCAATACGATAGCATCGTCTATTTGTAGATAGATCAGCATATCAGTATTAATAAATCGGCATCGGCAAATCTATGTTATTAAAAAGATTTCTAACACCCAAAATAAGTTCTAAGATAGGAGTAATGCTTGAAAACACTGAATACCAACTATTTGCTATGCTGTCAATTTTATTCAAGAGGTATTTTAATATAAGCATTACTCAAAACGTTTTTTAGGTTATTCTATATGGGAACTGGAATATAATACGAAATTGTTTGTACTAAGAATAATTAAATAAACGACAATATATGACGTATTTTAAGGTGTTCCGTGTGTGAGTGTGTGTGTGGTAGCGTCATTTCATAGATAATAATTAACTTTTTTCGATGTTTAAGACTTGAGAAGTTTGTTGGCTCGCTGGTTAGCAACTGCTATACGTGTCTCGTTGCTCTCACCCTATAATATACAATGAATGAGTTAGTAACTAATATGACAATACAGCAAGTATAGTTACAATCTGTCCGTCTTTTTACAATAAGCAGATTGACAAACTGTAACCTACATTGGTAATATTTTCTGTGCTTAGTGAAAATTATGACACAACGTACGCGTGGAAGTGTTAGTTAGCAGGACATATTTATATATAAAATATATGCAAATATAATTATCATATTACCTTTTTTATGTTTCTCAACTTGCCTAATGATGAAATCGATAACGCTCAAATGTTTTTAGACATAAAAGTCGAGGTAAAGAAAAAATAAACGAAGAAAAAAAGCGAACAAAACAATAAAGAAGAACACCATGGATTTTTAAGGAAAAATAAAAAATCTACAAACGATAGATTGACCAAAAACACGAATTTCAAAAAAGGATTTTGAAAGAAAGGACTTCAAAAAAATCGAATAGACGAAAGATTTGAATAACAGAGAAGACGTATAAAACGACCTTATAAAAAATAGCATATAATCAGACGATATCAATATGAATGTCATATTTTGTTAAATTACAATAAAAAGTCAGAAAACAATTTACAAAAACTTCGTTTGATATATTGTCTTCTATTACCGCATTAAAGTCATGACTTTACTAAGACAGCTCAGTGGTAAGCAATTATAGACAGACATTTATTAAAAAATATTTATTTTTATTAGAACAGCAAAACAAACTTTATGTAACAAAATGCAGATTTGATTTTAATTTATATTTTATATTTCCATATACAGGAGACACGTGTTTGCTTTCAAATTTTCAATAGCCTACCAGAAACAAACGGAAAACGTAACTGGCAAGTGCAAGGGTCATTCTTATCTATTATTTATCCATACATTCTTACTTTGATGTATATATGTATGAAACTTTGATGTATTGATATACATTGAGTTGTAACGTACGTATGTACGATGAAAAATGTATTCGTTATGAAATAAATGTAGAATTAACAGCAACTCAGGGATATCATTATGACACCTCGTTAACATTTAAACGCCTGATTACAAACGTGGCTTACTCTTAACTCAGTTTAAACAGAAATGCTGTCTCTGTCTTCTGCTTAGCAAAAAAAAGGGCGACAGCATCACATTTATATCAGGCTTAACTTTAGTCATCGATTTGTAATAAGTTGATAAGATTTAAACAGTTTTTTAGTGACCAGATTTCGTGCTGTATATTTTAATACATTATTTAAGCACTGAATAAGCTTGTAAAGTCAGGGTATACATATCTAAGTGAGAAGCGAATTCTGTGAATAGCTTGCTTATATAAATATACACCGTGAATTTTGAGTTACCTGAGAAACTTCAAAATCAGGTAAATAAAAATTGTGCGAACAGTTATAAACAGTAAACGTACTACTATACCCGTATACAAAAATGTTGATTTGTATCGTTTACAAAATATCTATATTATAGAATTATTACACGTATAAAGTATGTATGTAGATTCTAAAAGTAGATTTATTTGAATAAATTTATATAACAATTGAAATGGTTACGGTTTCAAAATTGCACAAACAATGATTTGAGGTGGAGACATTTTCTCATAAAATTAATTGCAGAAAAAAAAAATGCTAAAATATTACCTAAATCTTTGTCTGTGTTAGCTAGTAAAGTTTCTCGGGTAACTCAAAATTCAGGGTGTATAATACAAGCTGTGCTCGCTCAGTGTAGAAAAAAATAAATTATTAAAACAATACTCACGGTTTTCATCGATGTGTTGTGTGTTTGTGTCAGTGTGATGTGTGAGTCTCGTGGTTTTTAACTGACGCATATTTGTCATGCCACTTTTTAGGAATTATTAAAAAAGAAACATACCTAAGTTACACTTAGCCTTATAATTTTACCAATTATAAAAAAATGCAGTATCCTTTAGAAATACCGGACAAAATGAATATTTTTTAAGACAATTTAATCTATTTTTTTTTATTAAAATAATAATAATAGCTCTTGTTGCACGGAATTAAATTTATAAACTGCTCAATGACAACATGAACAAAAAAGAAACAAAACGATAAGAATAATAAGCCATTTTATTTCTTAAAAAAAATATAAACTCATTATACGCATATGAGAATTATTACTAACGATAGTAGCTTAGTTATTAAGTATAAGTAGATTTCATAGAAGCAGATATGTACGGATATGTGAAATAACAAGAATATATCATAAAATTGGTCAATTGTTATTTACTAATAAAATATTGTAATAATACTGGCCAAATCATAATACGATAAAAGGAAATAATATAAGTTACTATTATAATTATAAAAGCTACTGGATTTTAATACTCGTTAACCAACTCCACATACACATAAATGCTCCTATGAAAACTTAAAAAAGCGATTTAATAAAATCATGAGATCTGATGTATTTCAGACTGCAATTATACTATAACGTAGACTCCTAAATGATTATACATAACGTTTATTTTAATTCCAATCTACTATCACATATCAATACATCCCTTTCATTGCCATTCATATTTCACTTTTATGCCTTTTCCAATTTACAAACCTTTTGCAAATGAAATTAGACCTAAAATTCCATAACGTCTAAAATTACACATTTATCGTGAATAATTCAACTATTGTTTTGGAATATTTCGATTTATACTTGCAGGAAACTTTAAATTCCTGATTCCTAAGAAAAATATTCAGTAAAAACTACGTGTACATGCTTCGAATATTGTAAACACTTTTACTTACGACAAGCTTTTACGGTTCCTTAGCGATAGTCGTCGACGAGTTTACCTACTACAACGTTAACAATGAGGTAAATGTATATTCTCAAAATAATTTATTTCACTGATACAATGCTAAGTATCTACTTGTTTGTAATATTTAAAGATATATTATAGTGACATAGTTACAACAGGATTATTAATGCTTTAAACTTATTTCACATCGCATACTGCATGAAATGAGCACCACTGACTGGACAAAAAGTACAGATGCCAGTAAGATAATTCACCATTAAAATACATAAGAAATAAACTGAAAAAAATAAACACATTATACATAACAAACATATACGAGTTTTTTCTAAAAAAAAAAAAAATTCCATATGTGATTATTATATCAGCGTTTAATGACGAATACGAGATAAATATTAATATTTGGAAATTGGTACAAGTAATTCAGCAAAGTCCTTAATTTTTCAATTTGTTAAATGGTTTAAGAGTAAATTGCATTTAACAGACCTTAAGGGCTATCGAATCAACTGTGTGTGTAGTAAAATATTTTTTTTCGTCGTCGGTCATCCAATTATACGAAAAAGCAATGTAATGAGAGCATGACTCAACTGAAATCGTCGGATGTTCACTTAATACAGTAGCATGTAATACTTGGAATATACGATGGTAAGTTACATTGAATATTTTAGACAGCGTCTTGAATTTAAAAACTAAAAGAGATTTTATAGATACAGGCGCCGGTTGCAGAATCAATTACATTTTGTGAAATCGCATAGTTGTAAATGATTGGCTCATTTAATAAATTATTAATATCGTATTTGAATTTAATAATAAACTAATATTTTCACTACTTACTGGGTAACCTGTCATGAAAGAGTAATTTAATAAGCACCCCTACATCCCGTGTACGGTATAAAAAAAATGTATCATTTATTTAAGAAGAAATATATACAGAATATTACACATATATATATATATATATATTTAGTGAAAATAAAATATATTGAAGATATAATTCAACAATTTGACAGTATAAGATTTAACTAATTTGTTTCAAGATATTTAGATCGAGTAACTGAGACTTGATGGCAAATTCTATTAAGTAATTTCATTGATAATATCCTATCCATTTATCAACAATCTAGTATAATCAACATTGGAAATGCTAATTTTAAAAAATCTATGGATTTGAATTCAGATCGCCAAAGTTTCTACTAATAATAATTATAGTAAAACATTCCGGTTTTTTCAGTTCTGCTTCGAACATTATTATATTGATAATATATACATCCCGACAAACTTCTTGAGCAACGACCATAGACAAGGAAGTCTGCGCAGTAGCAATTTTACACACAAAAACCTCTACTGCGCAAGTTCATTTGTATGTGGTTTTGCTCAAGAAGTTTGTTGCTACCTATAACGGAAAGCAAGTTCCTACGAAAATGCGGTGTTTCGCTCATTCCTTTTCAATTACGCATAAGTGTCGCTCCTTAGAACAAGAGAGATTGCAAAATATCGTGGACATAAACCGCAAGTTCTCGCTGAACCGAGAATATAACCTGTGTAACTATATAGAATGGAGCTATGCAAATAAATCCTGCGCATACTGTTAGAGATTCAGTGTAGGTTTCCGCAACCGGTGTGTCAGACCACGAGACCGCGCGTGTGTAGTGTACTGAGTGCCGTAGTCCTTTACTTGAGGAGCTCGTGTGCACGCTGATTCGCCAGAGTTATCCTTGTTTCGTTCGATTCACCCTAAGGAGAATAGCGTTTTGTTTCTGCTTCTTTTATCAACATACAACATACTGCGACTGTTAAATCATAAGTCTCAAGTGTTCAGTCACCATGCAGTACAGTCGCAGTGTTCGAATGTGACATCACTCGGTGAATGAGTGTTACTGATGAGGTATTTTGAAGGTATTTTAGTCAATGAAAGTGATCGCTAATATTACGTTAACAATGACAGTGTCGACAGATGTGTTCTGGAGTATCGTGACATGTCTCATGAGGTATAGACGGCACATCGAGGAGAGATTTTTAATCACAACAACCAATCAGTGCTACCCATTAACTACGAAAGTTTTAAGGAAATCATGCTATTGAGGCAATAAATAGACTATGTGTTAACACAGTAAGAGAATCTCATAATAACTTTGGAAACAAACACAACAATGTTTATAAATCCAAAATTCATGACTGAAAAAAGTCAAATACGAAATTTTGTTTCACCGTTGGTGACATTCAAAAGAGTGACATTGATTAAGAAACAGATGTCTGATTCGGGTATTTTTCAGAATATGTATGCGTCTAAAAGGAAATAATTATTCCAGATTATAATATTTCAGATGAGCAATTTATATTAGTGACACCAGGACCCCCCGATGACATTCATGTGTTTGCATTAAATTGTTATTAAACAGATTTAGAACCATACGTATTAACACACATCTATTGGTTTTGAAAGGGTCCCATAGTGACAGGTTGCCAGGAAAGCGAGTGAGAGAATTTTTAAAGGCCAATAAGCGATAGACAGTCGCATAGATCGAAGGAAGAGTCTGGAAAATCTATTCGCACTTCCACTTCTAAAGTGACAGGCAAACACTCAAATGGTGAAATGACAATGGAAAACGGAGACATGGTAAAATTTGAATACACGATTAAGTTTTACCGAGTCTATAAATTCAGAAATACACAAGATATATTTAGAAAACAAATCAAAGAACACTGAAAACTTTTAGTAAAACAATTCTGAAAAGTTAACCAGAAGTAGTCTTTGGAACATTCGAAATTTTGAAATATTTATGTACAATTTAAAATCACTGCAAAAGTGCAATCGACTAAATACATATAAAACAAATGTATGTTACTAGAAATAACTATCAATTGATTTATGTAGCTAGCATTCATTTCATTAATATCAAAAATCTCTTTCAAGTATATATTTTTTCAAAAGTATGTAAATATCAAAGAGAGGCTTAATATGGACATAAAAATAGTTATCATTTCATTTCATTAAGTCGAGTGCGCTTTTGGTTTGGTAAAAGTAAAAATATTAATAAAGCATCTTTTTTGAGAGACCCTCTAGAACATTGCTACTAGTAAAGAAATTACAATGTGTGGTAGTTGAGTAGGATTTTGTTCGAGTATTCGAGTCTCCATTTCAAAACTACAGGATTTTTAAAAAGTTCTATTCGTATCCTTTGAAATGAAAATATTTCAATAAATGTGATTTTTTAAGTATTAGAAGATATTGTTAGATAATAAATAACCATAATATTCATGTCACATATTTTTTAGAAAGAGAAAAAGTAGGCTTCTATAAATTTTGTTTTGAACAATGATCCGAAATATGGTACCACTTTAGTAGCAATGTCCAGTAGTGTTCTCGCCGTCGAGCTGAGCGGGCGTCTCCAAGAGTATTGACCATAGCTTAAGTTAATTCGTACCTTGCGGTTGATGCGTTCTATCTGGCGGTTCTGGTTCTCGAGTTCGGAGCCCATGTCAAGAGCCATGTTGCGCAAATTGCCAATCATGGTGTTGACTTGGCCCATGTTATCTTCCATCTCATCCTCGCGTGCATCGTTCGTTATCCTGGAGGAATTCAAATTGTTTATAAGATAACAAGACATTTTTAAAGATGATATTATATTACTCGCCCCTACTTTATATCAATCATTTATTTGAGATGGAATCACGACACCTATTAAGACCATGTTGTAAATAAATGGTGAATTCTTTCATTGCACCAAAAAACACTAACATGGGAAATCAGTCTATTGAATATTGAAATAGACTATTTAGATCTTACTTGTCGTAGTTTCTGGCATATCTCTTACCAATTCAGACGCTTTTTTTGGGAAAGAAACTGATATTTTCCTGGTACGGTATTGGCTTATATTTCAAAACAGTTTTGGGTGTCAGGTTTAGTAGTATGGACTTACTGACCTTCCTATGTAACCGGCTTGTGGTCCTATGCCATTGCGCTCATCCATCACTCGTTGCGGTTGGTTGTTCACCACTTTTCCATCATCATTGCCTTTCCACGTGCCGTCATCTTCTTTGAACGATGCTCCCCTGGAAATGGTTAATTTAGAATTTTACAATTTAACGATTAGTCCATTTAACTTTTGAAGCTTGTGGAATAACATACTTATTGCAGGGCAGGACACAGATGCCGCAGCATTTCTCCATTCCTGACAGATTCTTCTCGGCTTCACGCATATCCGCGTTGATTTGATCCATACCCTCTTCGACTCTGTCCAATTGTTCTGTTCACACACACACCAACAATCGCTTTAGATTTGCACTTAAGAAGCTTATTTAAATATGTGTTGAAGCGCCTACACTTAAGATTTTTTCTTTAAGTAAATAATTTTTCTTTTTATTTCTTATTTATATTTATAGCATTTTTTCTCAATTGTAAATTCTCAACGCTCTCGACAATCCCGAGCTAAGTGTAAGACATTTTGTTCGTATGGTAAACAGATTTACTGAGCTTTTATTCCAACTAGCTTAATCATGCAAGGTTGACGATTTAGTTTCTACAGCAACTAGTTATTTAAGTTTCAATGTAGCAGGTAAGCATCTATTTTAGGTATGTTTTATTGTTTCGGTCGAATTGATTGCGCTATATTTATGTCTTACACTTGATCCGGTTAACTAAATATTGCGATTACTTGCTTTGATTTAAATGATGTTATGTGCTGAGACTAAGTGATTAGATTACAATACTATAATCGAATTAGCTAACATTTAGAGTATCAATAGTTATATCATAAAGAAATACCAAAACTCATGCAAACAGCAAGAAGAAGAATCGTGCATAGCTAGATGCGTGAGATAAACTAAAGAAATAATTCAAACGGTTCAAGTAAACCAGCTAGTCGGCGGCTCACCCGCCGAAGTGGATGGGGCCGGAGACTTAAGGATGCAGTTTAGTCACTAGTTTTATTTAAGTGTGATCATGACATTTTACCTTTTATTATCCATTATAAAGAAACTGTTAGCAAACTTTCAATCGGTATCGGTTAAATAGGTACCTATCATCGCCATTCAATAAACTTGATCAAATTATTTAGACTGACAATTCAAACAGAAGCTGTACTAAATTATGAGTGATGCAAAATAGTAGGTACTACTGGATGCTTACCGCCCTGTTCATCCAGCATGACCAGGGTTTTCATGCCCACCTCGTGACTCTACAACACAATAATGATGTCACTATAGCTCGCCAAACGAATGCGGTGAGGAGTCGGGAGCGACGCTGGCGCCGCCCGGGACAACTCAATACCGAACTTAAACTGAACTAAACAGAAAATAAAGTAAAACAACCGCGGCGCGGGCGCCATCTGACGGCGACGGCGCGCGCGCCACGGATGATCATGACAAAACAAATCAACTTAGCAAATGAGCGTAACCATAAAGCCATTCCTAAATGAAACGTGAATATAGCAAAGTATTAATTTAGTTGAAGAAGAGAAATGAACAAACTAATATGTGGTGGCGAGGAGCGAGCGGCGCGGAGGCGGCGCCGCTGCCTCGCGGACAGACACAGACGCATCGAGCTAACAGTTACAGTCCTACGTCTAACATTAACAGTACGCTGCTAGCCATGGAGATGAAGGCGTTACCATACTCTATACGTCCAACAGATACACGAGGTAAACGCGCATTCATTTCAGTACCGCAGTATCATTACGAGAAGATAGTAGATTCGGAAAGATAAATAAATATACCTATTAAAAAGCGTTCCCATCGATAAGTATCAACGGAAGAACTAAACAGATTGCGCAGCTCATTCAAATTAAATCTTCAGCAAAAGATAGAGTAACAGTCTTTTGCGACAATCAGCAACGAACGGCCATCGGGCTTATCTATTTACACTATGATTTTAAGTCATCCTTATCGAAACATAGATACACACGCAACATCGATCTCAGATAAGTCGTTATTCAAGAGAAACGTCAAAGAAAAACAAAGAGATTATATTATTTAACTGCACATTCAACACAGACGTTCTCACGGTTCGACTACCCATTTTCAGTTTTTAACTCTTACCGCCCTGGTGACTCAACATATGAAGCGCTTGCCCCCCGGCGTCCTCGCTCTATACATAAAATAGAAATCAAAATAATATATCTCGGAGAGAGTATCGGGGGTGTGTGGGTGGCGGGGTGCAGTGCGCGGGTGCGCGGGGTGCGCGGGGTGCGCGGGTCGCGCGGTCGCGTGCGGTGGCAGCGTGGCGGCGGCGGCGTGTCGCGGCTACGGCGCTACGGCGCTATGGCGGGCGGCGCTACGGGTGCGGCGCGCGGGGGGCGGCGGCCCTGGGTCCTCACTACCCGCCTCGACCGCCGCCTCCCGCGCACACACTACTCCATCCACAACGACATGCATGCATTCAAGCTTGCAAGTAAAACCAGATTTTGTTTCATCTGTGCTCAGTTTCATATGATTCATGATTATTCTGTGTGATGTCAAGAGTCGTGCGTTGAGGAGAAGCGTTTCGAATTTACTTTGCTCGTTCAATATACGTTTCATGTTAAGAGTCGAGTTCGAACATCTGAAATGCCAGAATGTAAGTATATCGGTACGATCGAATAATATCGTTTGTAATCATGTAAATTCGGTCGTCCTGCTTGACGTTCGTAAAGAGATAAGAGCTCGTTGTAAGTTGTGCAAAGTGGTGTATAATTATCTACATAACGAAATAGCATACAAAGATGTGGGTTTTCCGTGATCATCTCGTCGTGTGTGTCGTACGATGTTAACAGTCGATGTTTAGAAGGATGCCCGCACCTTTGCATTTGGTTTAGCAGTGACGAAATTTAAAAATTATTTAATGCAATACCCCCTTTAATTCTTCTAAAACGGCGAGCCCGTCTCCGGGTCGGCTGAAAACCCTATGACGCTCCAACAAGATTAGCGAAAAAGGTAAAATAGATAAAACTGTAAATAATGTAGTGTTGCAAAGTTTGCAGATCACTCACCTCCCTGGTCATCTAGAGCGACCAGAGTACGAATGCCGGCCTCCTTGCTCTATACGCCGCAGAAACAAAAAGTCACAGAGCATGTTAGTTGTGAGGGGTACAGTGGAGTGAGTGGATAGATCGGCCGCACTTCACAGCTGTGTGCTTGTCGGGAGAGTACATGTGGTATTTGACGTTATATTACAGTGTCACACGAAGGACGACATCTTCGAAGCTTTGCTTATTAAAAACGAGATGATTCAGGATCAATTCTTTCAAAATCATATCACAAGTATTCGACGATGTCCTCCCTTGATGTCTGAACTGTGATGTATAGAGTTGTTTAGTCTCTTCTGTGTGAAGGACGATATTGTTATGTCATTTTAAATCACATAGGAACAGATAATGATAACTTTATTAACGTCTGCTTCTAATAAAAAAATACTTATAAATTAAAATAAAATAATGAATTATATGTCGTAACTCTTGACACGCATAAAAGAAACGACAAATAAAAGTTGAATAGTTATAAAATAAACGATAAATAAAATTAAGTTAAATAGTTATTTATTCATAAGACAGATATATCACATTACAATAATACTCATTGGTCTGTATTTTGTGTGAGAGTTGAAGGTGTAGCTCGATATTTTGTTTGGAGTCCAGTGGCAGATACGGGGGTGTGTTTGCGCCCATATACTGGTAGTATTGTGAATGTTCGAGAAGGCATGAAAATCATACAACATAATAGATTTACAGTCAACAACAGACAGCAGCCACTACACAGAGACCAAAGTACAGAGTCAACTAAAATAGGTTAGAACGTACAACAACATACAACTGATCCTGATCATCTCGTAGCCGTTCAGTTGATCAGTAGGTGTTAGATTGTCATTAAATAGTCCAAGAGGTACAGAGGCAAATCATATGGTAGACAGTGTCATTGAAGAGAAGAAAGGACTAAAACATGAAAAATTAGGTAAGACAGTGGTGAAAGGTGCGTATGATAGTAGTGACCCAGCCTCAGAGGCAGATTGGTTTTAGGAAGTTTAAGTAAGTATAACGAGTTTGGCGTCCAAGTAGTACAAGGGTTCGTATTGGAAGCAAGCCCAAGCACAACGGATAGACTAAAGATCAGACAGGAAGCGCACGTCTGGGTCGTAGAACATTCTAAAGGGGATGCTAACATCTGAGAATTAGTTTTGACTAATACGGGACAGGGATAATTTTTCTATGTGTCATTAATGGGCTTCATGCTTTGGAAACAAAAACAGCGAATCGGGCTATTGTATCAAGCGTTGACAGTTAACTTTCTAATCTAATAAATGTATTGAGTTCCGTCATAGAAGAAACGTATACGATTTTTACGACTACCGGAATTAACTGTCAGCACCATGTGTAGTTTTGCCCATATTTAATTACATAAAATGTACAAAACTACAAACAACACAAAGGGCTAAAGAGGTCTCTAACACTTTCGGACACAGTTAGGCACGGATCATGCAAACACTCATTTATGTACGATAATAAAAAAAAATATATTATATTCGGAACTAAAATACGAGGTAAACCAAATAAATAGGGTAGTTGTAACCGGACAGCTACAATAAATATATAAACATTTATAGAAAAAACGTATAATATAGCGACATCGATACACAACAGCCAGGGATAGCAGAGGCTGCGCCCTAGGGGATACGATGGGACGGGCGTCGGAGACCAAACCGAGCTTGGGGCTATCCAGGACACTTCCGCTATACCCCTCACTCCCTCGCATCGAGAACACCTCTCTCACAGATGATCACAAATAATTACATAACCAACAGAAACCAAATCAAATGATAACTATGAGGGGAAACTAATTTTTAGTTCAACTTAAACGCGTCTCTACGAATCCAGTACGCACAATTACATTGTCAAGATAAATCTTAAATCGATTAACAGACATAGGAAATTTCTCCAGTATTCTCGCACGCTTGGAAAATCAATAGAGCATGTTTAATGACACATACCATTCAGGTCATTTACACAGATATCAGACTTTGAAATTGATATAAAAAAGTTTACTCCGCTTTCAACTTTTAGTGTTTCGCATACCATTGGCTGGTTAATTCGTTTTTCATATCAAGTTCTTGACAAAATTATTTCGTTTCTATAGGGCAAAAATATTAATTAATATAAACACATTAATTAATTAACAATTTAATATGAGATGAGACTCGGGAGGTATTATTTTAGACATTTGAAAACATGTTACTCCCGTTATATTAAAATAATTTGATAAAACTGTTATAAAACAAACATGTTCGATGTATTTTTGATATAAACAGTTAAAGTTGATATATAATAAATTTTAAGTAATAATAATTATAAAGATAATATACGTTTCGTTTGGCAATCCGTAGTAAAATATGGGGAACGTTGTAAGATTAAAGACATTTTAAATCTTATCTACAAAATCTATTCATTGTAAGATAAAATTTGTCTGTAATTAAATAATAGCTCAATGATGAACTTGATGATGTCAGTGTGGAATAAAAGTTGAAAATAGTAAACAGAAATTTCCATTTCTTTAAGTGGAAGTTTAATTTATAACAGTTTTATTAATATTTATAAAATCTATGGAAAAGAATATAATATTGCATTAGAACACCCACCTCCTCACATAGCTGCATCATTCGCCGAGTGGACTCCAGTGACTGAAATAATTAAAGAAAATATTTTTCATAACATTCACACTCATAGCACATAATGACAGCGCCGAAACAATTTATAATTTATATTCATTACAACAATCAATAGGTGGCGCTGGGGGTGACAATTTTTTTATTTAATAAATTATATATTATTTAAGTAGTTAAGTAGGTTAAGGTTATTTGGATTGTAAATTTTAGACATCAAGCAGTTTTTAATTTTCATTTCGGACGCGCTCCGAACGAAACATTTACTAAAAACCGGTATTAACCTTTATTTACCAGTATTTTTGAAACCGGTTTCAAGCCCTGATAGGTACCTCTCATTCTACGATGTAAAAAACATCTTATCGAAGATTTTAGAATATTCTTTCGATACAATTTATTTGGATTGTAAATTTTACTTACTGTTCTTAAATTCTGATGTAGACGGGCGCTGTGTTGTGGTTACGATAGTTTATAAATAGTAATAAAATAATTTAATCAACAAATGTTATATCTAAGGAAGGTAAGGTATATATATATTAAAATTGGTAAAAGGATCAATAACGCCTACAGAAAAATCTATTCTAACTTCTAAAATAGTATGTTCAAAACATGAGTAACATTAGGATGTATATCATCCTAATGTTACTGACTCAACACTAATTTTATAATTTTCAGAGGCCAGCCTTGCACCCACGGAGGAAAAACAAAGAGGAGGTGTGGTGATTAAATTTCCTCAAGAAACGACGCGTGATAATTTGCGGGATGCGGGGTGTTCAGCTCCGCCCACTTCTCAATATTTCATCTATCGGCTAATAGCAAAACTAGCTTAGGTTGATATTTATGTTACTACGTAGTAGTTCAGCTGTCTAACACTAGATGTTCAAAAGTTTTGTATATAATGGGACGTACTCAGAACTTGAAGCTTCAAAAAAATGAAATATGTAGGTAAATAAATAAAATGAACGTTAACAAATTTGACCGATTTTAAAAATTTTAAGGTATAATTTTTATTATTTTAAAACATGTAACGGCTTGATGAAAAAAAATCCAGGCAGACCAGGCAGCAGACGGGACTCGAACCCGCACCCGCTCCCGTCTGCTGCCTGGTCCGCGTGGATATTTTTCTAGTTATATTTTCTTTAGATTTAAATTTTAAGGTAGTTTAAAAATAATAAAATGTTATTACAAACATAATTTTATTAAAAAACATCAATTACCTGTAAATAATAGTTTTGGTTAGTTGTTGTCGGTTGGTTGCCCTATCGTTTTGTATTGTGGCAAAATGCTTAAAACGAATATCAATATATTTTTCTGCAATCGATTTCATCAGAAATACAACATGATTAACTGTAGGTGATTGGTCAAACATATGGTTGGCCGATTTTTTGAAACAATCTTGTCCAATAAGTGATTTTAATGTATTCGATACAATTTTATGTTGACGAAAGTTAGGAGTATTCAAAGATTGCGATTTAACACAACGAATACTGCCTTCGGTCCGTATACATATTTTTATGACATCTCTAGATGGGAAAGTAAGACCACCCTTATTTTTAGTTTTTATCAAATCAAGGTCACTATCGTCGTAGTTATCAGCATATAATTCTTTGAGACAGCTCTCACATTTGATCTTGGAATGTAAATATTTGACCACATACCCAGAAATATATGCTACTATATGACGGCGCAAATAGTCACCTATAGTTGTATTTAATTGTTCATCAAATTCCAATAACATATCGTCAGGCATAGGCTCGACATCCATGCTATCCGAAGACTCGAAACTCATTTTATTTAAAATGCGATAACGTTCTGATGTAATATTATTTTTTTGCACAGAAGATTCATTTAAAATGGAAATATCTTCTTCTTCTATGGTGTCCAATCCGGTCTATTAAGTTTTGAAATCCATTGCTGTTTTAAATTATCGTTGGATGGAAATCTAAAACGAACATAAAAATAATTAAAATTTATTTACTTGGTAAAATAATTTAATACGTATTACGGCCCTGGATATTTGTAACGTTTAAAAAGTTATTCTATATGACGACAGATGGCGGCCAGTTAGTAATATATTGATAAAATTACTGTTTTAGATACTAAAAGTTATTTAGGAATAAGTGTATAACAGTTTTCAGTATTTACGTATGATTATTACAATATACTACTGCAAAATTATACGTAAACTTGTGTATTTTCTTCCTAAAAGTGTCGCCATCTGGTGTCAAGTAGTAGAATTTTAACGCTGATAGCTGAGGCTGAGAATGTTCTAGAACTTATATATTTAATTACGTATAACATTACTTACAAATGAAATGTGATGCCATCCATATTATCAGAACGTCTGTCTGAGTAACTTTGACATAGTAAAACACAAAACTTCATCCTTTTCTTGTTAAAAACGCAAAAAAACACTTATAGTGCGAGTCTCGTTAAGTGTGCACCTGACGAACGCTGAAAGCATACTGACTTAGGCCCCGCCCACAATGATGACGTCAGGACCTAGTTGAAAATCACAGTGCACAGTTGCTTAGGCCAGCTCCTCTTTGTTTTTCCTCCGTGCTTGCACCACAGTTATAATTTAAGCCTCATTCTAAAGCTCCAATATTATCTGACTTTAAACAATTGACAAAGATGGAATAATGTTATAATTTTTATTTTTTAATCATGTAACTGCTTGATTTTTATGAAATCGAAAGAAAATATAACTAGAAAAAAATCCACGCGGAACAGGCAGCAGACGGGACTCGAACCCGCACCCTTCGCTATCCGGGCGTATGCACTGACCAATTATGCTACCGCGGCCCTGACGGCCGCGTCGAAATTCTTCTAGCCACTCTTAAGCTGCAAGGCAGCCCCATCTCTTCGTATTGTAGGTAACCCACAATGTCAAATGAATACTTTTACAAGTACATATTAAACATTTGAAAGAAGAAATAACAATTATAGTTTTATTTTTTATTTTTCAAGCATGTAACTGCTTGATGTTTAAATCCAAAGAAAATATAACTAGAAACTGGAATAATGTGTTAAACACCATTGAGCACTAATTTAAATTAAGAATGGTGGTGCAAGTGGCCTGTCTTTAATTATTTTTTCAAAAAGTTATCAAACTAATGCCGGCTTTACACGCTCGCCGATACACCCAGAGACAGGCAAAGACCAAGAGTGTACATTGTACATGCATGGTGCTCTCGTCGCGTCTCGGTATCTTGAGCCTCGTCTTGTGGGTCTCGCTCGCTTATCGGTTGATGCGGTCCAAGGATCTCCGTCTCGGAAATATTATCTATACTGTATTCTATCTTCATACAAACGGTCGGAAAGCGTGTCATACCTACACCCAGTGTTGCCAACTCGGATTTTGAAAAAGGCGTAGGCCCGATGAGAAAATTACGTAGAATTGGTAAATTTTGCATATGAAAAGTAAGTAGATCTACGTACTTTTTTCTGAGTGAAATGAAGAAGTTATTTGAAACCGAATAAAACGAGTATTTTGTTATACAATTTGTTTATAGAACAAAGAGTTTTTGGAGAAGTCGCTGCATTGGAAGCGTTTACCATGCTGTGGTAAACATTTACCATCAGACATAGACACTGGTGGGTGCCGATTCTGGATGGTTCTCTAAATTTAAAACTTAATTTAACATTAGTCTCTCCTTTTCATTCTGTATAGAGAATGACAAGGATAAACTGTTGCTAAATGGGCTAGTTGACACTTTTTGGAATTATGTTTTAAATTGTTAATAGTTGTTCTATCAGAACGAAAAAAAAATTTTTTTTTACCTAGAAGACATACAAAAACGCTCTTTAGTCTATAGACTTATCTATGCTATGACGTCAAAACATTTGTAAACAAACACTCGCAAGTACGTAGGAAATAAACTTTCTAAGTTAATATTATAAAACCATGATTTCTAATAGATCACATGAAAAATATAGTAGTTATCATGATACACTTGGTAAAAGACTCTAGCTAAAGTTGTGGTTTAAATTGCCAAGAGAAAAAACATACTTACACATGAACATATTATGCTTAAAACTTGCTAAATCCTGTAACTTTATCGACTGAAAGTCTTTTCGTTTTGCAAAGATCAATTCGATGTGAGTAGGTACTCATTGATAATAGTAAAAGTTTAAAAATACAATTTTTAAGGTTATGAATGTACCTACTAAGTCAAAGAGTTTTGTCGTTTCTGCTTTCACAAATCCTGTGTCCAACATTAATTTAGTCAACAAAACCAATAACGGGAACCTTTTCTACAAGATACAAGAGTGTTTAGATACATCTTTATAAGAAATAAACATTTGTATAGTTTTTAAGTAAAGTAACGGAAAATATTCTTCTTTATTCTAGGGAATTAAGTTATTTTACAAATTTGAAAAAAATTAAGAAAATACGTAGATTCTGGGACTGAAGTTAGTAGGTTTCCAGAAAAGGCCTAAAATACGTAGATCTACGTAAAAAGACGTAGAGTTGGCAACACTGCCTACACCACTCGAGTTCGCGCGGCACCCGGTGGGCACCCAGTCGCGAATGCGCCGCAGCGACGATTGAACGGTGTGAATTGTTTTTTAAGCAGTTGGCCGTGCTTAAACGTTTGTATTGTGAATGTTTGATTGAATTAAGTGATTTCTACATAATTTAATATGGCAAAGAGCAATAGTCGATATTGTGCTGTTTTTGGTTGCTTGAACTCTTCAATAATTAAACTTTTTATACGAATGCGTATTTATTATACTTTTAAATTTAATAATAAAGCTTTTCGTACGTCTCAGTCGAGGCGTAAATATTTTTCTGTCTCAAATCTATATATATTTTTTTTATTAAATATTACACATATAATTACATGTATTTTATGTAACACTTCCTAATTCATTCACAGCATTTTTTTACATATGAAATAAAATATTTACAATTATAAAACTAGAAAGAAACTCAATTATGTAGATGAAATTAAAATACTGTAGGCGGTCAGCCCTACCGCGTGGATACGCCCCGCTCGGCCGTAGGCAGTTATTTCAAGGACAGGGCCGAGTCACAATACTGTATAGATAATATTACCGTGTCTCCGTGGATCACGCAAGGAAAATGAGAGCAAGCATGTACACAGTCTTTGGGCGCCTCCTCGGCCCAGACTCTCGACGAGAGGCTCTCGGAGAGTGTGTACAGCCGGCATAAATGTGGATTATTGTAATATTTGAAAGTTTATTTGATACTCACATCATCGGTAACTTGTCCGGCGCGCATTTGTAGCTGCTCGAGCTCACTGCGCGGCGCGCCGCCATTTTCGGCGGGGGGTACTGGAGCCGGCATTCTGAAACATTATGTTCACAACTTATCAGCTTACTATTACTCTGGCAAGATACAAATACATCCAGATTATATAATAAAAATGTTATATAACGACGATAACCTAACACATCCATGTTTACAAGTCTGGTCGAACACTCTTTCATTCTCATCATTCTTTTGGACTTAAGTTACTAATTACTTAACGATAATTTTGGTATTTGAACAAAATTTTCTATAATGCTCAGATGATTTCTATTTTTTTTTTGTAATTGATGACACTTTAGTAATTATTAATTACCCAAAATATATTTAGAAACATTAGATAAATGGAGAAAAAATAAGCACTATTGTCGGGTGAAAATTAGGAAAAAAAACTCGTATCTCCAAAACTAATGAAAATTGATGAACATACATACGTAATTCGGATACCTATTGATGTATGGCATCCAAAAAATTGTTTTGGACGTCACTCGCTTGGCGATCCTCTATCGCATCGTAAGGAAGTTCACAGGCGTATCCCTCGTTCGCGGAATAGACAGTATGACATAGATAATATACCCTATTCTGTGTAATAAATTAATAGGTAATATAATATAACCTTTGGCACTTTATTGTCACACCTGCAAATCGAGTTCAATGGAATCTTATTTTTTTTTCGGAAACAATGGAAACAACTTCCAAAATGCAATAAAATCGTTCAGCGATTTCGACATGAAACAGTTACTGGCCAACTGGCAGATAAAGTAAGTTTTGAATTTATAATATTAATATTCAAAAGTATTTTTTTAAGCTTCGTAATTGTTACAGAAATAACTTTGGCTTTAGGCTTTGTAAGTAGTGCCTCACCTTAAAAATTAAATTTGAAGAGAACAAAATGTAAAGGCTTCTTATTTTTAATGCCCATTCTAGTAAGAGTTTACTAAGGGAAACCGGGAAATGGCAAGTTTAGGAAGACGATGAGCTCGCAATCAATCATTTTTGTTTGATAGTAACAACTTTGGAACTTATTCTGATTGCGGCGTTAAGGTTTTGACATGCATAGAATGAATGTCGCACCGATGATGAACTGTTTGAATATATTCTGGGATAGTTGCAATTCTATAGTGACTTACATTAATAAGAACAAAAAGAGAAATAAATTAAGACACAGTGCAAGAGAAGTGTTTGATAATTTTTTGTAAGATTTCTTTGAACGAGATGAAATGAAGGTTTTTTTAAAACAAGGCGCAGCAAACTACCCAACCTGATGTTAAATCCAAGTACATCAGTCGCTCACCCTGCTGACCTGAACCAAATGGGGATTGAGTTGTAAAAGTTGCTGGTTGTTGGAAAGGTACACCGTAAGGGCACTCAAGCCTTCGCTGAAAATACAACATCATCAAATGGTTGTATTTTCAGAGTAAGGCTAATCGGTAAGTGTTGTTTTACTGTGGTCTGCTCTATTAAGGTTTCTTCTCTAAGCGTGTACTCTTAAGTGTTTTAGGTTAAACAATAATAAGGCGAAACCTCGAGGCAGTATTGCGAGTGACGTGGCCCATTCGCTCGTGTGATTAACCCACTAGGTGCCTACTTGTGAATTAACAAAGCAAACTTGCAAAAGTAAACATTACAGGAACAACACTTAATTAACGGTAAATATTATTCTTGTTTTGGTTATTAAGTATAATAATTTAAGAAACATTCCTCGATAGCGAATAAAAGCTTGGATTTACGTTTTGTAACATATCAGAAACAATAATGTATGAAGAAATTTCAAGGAGTCAGTGCTTCCATTGGTTAAACGACGAATTTTTAATATAAATAAAACTTTAGGTTAGTGGAAGTGATCAGATCTATATCATCAATCATCATCAATACAAGTATCTTTTAAAAAGTCACACAACAAAAGCTAAATGTTACAATGTCCTTGAAACGAGGCTATATTTCATATGCAAGATACAAGGGGATTCTGTTCAAGACAGAAAGACTATTGGATAAGGCATGGACATTGGATGCTGGTATACATTTGCATATTGTTAAACCGTGATCCCAAAGCCATGAAAAGTCTCAGCCAGGGATCGAAAACGGTGATAAATATCGAGTATCGTATCATGTCGTCAACAACGCGGGAACACAAAGGAAGAGGGCCACAATGGAAAACTGCGAACCAACAACACTTTTATGTTATATAATTTTCGCGAAAATCCTAGGGATATTGCGAAAACGCGGACATTTAGACAATAGCGATGACTCACTGGGCCCACGTGGTGGGTCACGGTCAGTCTCCCTATTCCATCCATAAGGGAAGGCCTGTGCCTCTGCAGTGGGGACATTAATAGGCTGATGTTGATGATGATGAAGTTTTTAACGCAATTTACCTATTATGTTTCCTTAAAGTTATGTATAACTTAATGCACCCCTTTTATAATATCCCCTCCCCTTACTGCCGAAGAGGCGACTCGTGAGCGCAGACTGACTCAGCGTGCAAGTGTGAGAGATTCTCATATGAGAATGCTTATTCTGTGCCGAGAGGCTCTTATAAATCGCTTGTGGTTAGACAGGGCTTTCAATTAAGAAAATCAAAAATATTTTTTTATATTTTTTATTAAAGATTTCAAGAAAATAGAATCATCTTTTACTGCAACCCATATTAATTCAATCTTGGAAAAATTTGCGACACATCCTATCAATGCCCTCTGCAATTAATTTGAATAAATCACCCAACATCTTAAGTGCTTCCGCACTTCTCAAAGAGGCATTGGATTTTATAGTCGCTATTTCTAAAATCATAGCTCTAGACTCCTGCAGAGCTGATATAGAGACTGATGGGCGAGAGTGTGGTCGATCTGCTTACTGGGACCTTCCGCGACCTCTGATTGAATGTCTCTCAGTAAGCAGGGGAGGTGATGGCACTTGCCCTGTCAGGCTAGGTGAAGGCGACAAAAGTAATCGGTCTTGATTTATTGGAGGAGAAATATTTATTGACTCTTCTGCCAGTTCTACTTCACCCACAACATTTTCTGCCACAATGTCTTGCATCACATCTTCGACCATAATGTCCCCTAATTGGTCCTGGCTAACACCGGGCAGAAGCCCCATAGTCCTTCCTAAAATGTTAGCGATATTATCTTTGATGGCCGTTAAAGTGGGTGCATTATTCGGGCCGCCCCTTGTTCCTCTTTTATTAAAGTTAATATTTACTAATTTTGCTCGCACTTTGCATTTTTGGTCGTCCCAAACTTTGGACCACTCCTTGGCAGACCTTGTAGGCCCTTCCGCATTTAAAATTTCTGAAACTTCCCTCGAAAGTCTAGAAGCAACGGATCGAGCTTATTTTGACCTGACCCTGCCAAGAACGAGATCTTTGTGGGCTTATAAATATTCCACTAGGAGTTCTAGCTGGCGGACAGTCGTTATACGGCGGCGTTTTTCCATTTCCTCTTTAAATAAATTTTACCATTAATTTTAGGGCATACAACGAAATTTCGAACTTTTCAGTTGACTGACAGCAACTCAACCTGTCAAAATCAAAAGACTAGTGATGTTGTAAATTACTTAGTTGAGCTCTGATTGTCTTCTCAAATAGTAAGTATCAGGCCGTATACAGAAAGAAAGCTGAAAGCCGACCAGCGCTTGTAGGCGCTTATCGGCACTGGTCCATACCGGTAACCGGCGCAAGCATTTCTATGGATCAGCGCCGATAAGTGCTGATAATTCAGTTGAGAGATCATAATTAGCGCGATACCGATTTCGTATTAAGTTGAGTTGCAATTAGAATTGGACTATGATTGAACCATAATTGAACTTATGCGGATCGTTCAAAATAATAAATAGCGCGATTGGCCCGCGTGGTCCACTGAAGGAAAGGGGAAGGTGGATTAACTCATCAGAACACTCGCCGTGACGATAGAACGTGCTTAGTGACGCCACGTCACGGCGTAATTGACGAGGCGATCGAGGTTATTAGTCACCTCCTCATCGTCTATAATGCGGTTGGCGCGCCATACTTAATATTATTCGTTGAAGTAAACCAAAAGCGAATGCTTCTCCTCTAGAGTTACATACTGAATTCTTAAAAGCGAAATCCTGACCTAGAATACTAAAAAAGTAATAGTTAAATCCAAACTACTAAGAAGGTTTAAAAAATGAGACTAGAACGAATTTATATTCTTAGCTCTCTACGAGTATATGTGTCGCCGCACACGGGCCACACGGTTTTTGTATCGGCGCATTAAGTGGCCGGTGCGGGCCACAAGAAGCGAGCAACGACGATTTGAAGCGTGTGGTGGCCACCGGCGTACCGTGAGTGGCGAGTCCATATAAAATGTATGAAAACTGCAGGAAATATGCCGGTGTCGGCGTTTTGTGGTTGTGGTCGGTGGCCCGTGTGCGGCGACACTAATAAAATTACAGAAAAGTTTTTGTGTTCTTATTTGATTAAAAGACAGACCGACGAAAAAGTTTTTACTTGCATGCACAAAAGTAAGTAGTGTAAAATTTCCAGATTTCATGTACTGTGTCATGTGTCCTAAATTCCGTCATAACTATTAAATAAAGTTGGTTAAACATGAAATTGCTTGTACAGATTTAGATCATCATCATCAACAGCTTATTAATGTTCCCACTGCTGGGGCACAGGCCTTCCCTATGCCTGGATAGAATAGGATGGTCGGACCAGATTCTGAAATTTATCTAATTTTTATTGTTTTTGTAATTCCATGAAAAATACACGGTGTGGATAAGACCACAGCGTACCCCTATTTCAGTTTATTCATCTCGCTGGCAGGTGTATTTTCTTCTAAAGTGCACCTTTATCTCACCGTGCGTTTATCCAAAATTTTGTGAAACGAGAGCCTTTCAAATGTCCTCAACAGTCTTTAACTGAAAGCATGAGATCCAATTTAATCCCATTCCTGCCTGGCGAATTTTAACAACGCAGAAGTTTGACTACAACGGCGAATCCGCAAACAGATTTGCGTGTAAAAAGGGGGTGGGTGAGCGGCTTCAACCCAGTTGCCCCCCTTCTTTGTTTCGCTGCGTTCAAGGCTTTGCAGCCCTGTGTCGCCGTCTTTATGATATTTCCCAAGTTCATTGTTGAGGCAATACCTACTTTAAACATAGGCATTAAAGGAATTCTTATTATTCTTTGTTACTATTCTATCCAGGCTTAAGGAAGCCTTGTGCTCCAGCAGTGGGGAAATTAGGCTTATACGATAATGACGAAATTTCAGAAATATAGGTGTAACCTCTGCAATCATATGAAAAGCTTTTTATGATCGAACTTACAGTCATTTTATTCGTGTATCAATTTCAAATGTTAAACCTTGTAGATAAGAAGAGTCCGACACGCAATTTTCTTTAGATATATAAAAAGCTGCAGTTTCATAAATATTGAAATCAAAATAATCATTAAGTTAAATAACAAACCATCTTTATTCAATTTTCTTACTAAGCCATGAGAAGACACTGATTGTACTTAGTTTGTAAACGTGTTCAATAATATACTTATCAAGTCAAGTATCAAGTAGCAACATGAACTTTTGACAGATTTTTAATACTTATATTCATTTTTTAATAATAACCAATTTTGATTCCTTTAAACAGCTCACGATAGACGAAAAGGCACCTGGTTAAGGGAACAATAAGCGAGCCTGTCTTTATTATATCCAGAGTGTCGGGTTTTAGTGGTAGGATGAAAGTGGATTGCACATAGCTGGAGATATATATAACTAAAAAGATGAATAGATAAGGTGAAAGAGGATATGCCAAAAAAAAGTATACATATTGAGTGACAGCTGTAACAAAGAATTCGAGAAAATAATAAAAGGCCGTCTGGGGCCAAAAATTTAAATCTCTGCCTAGAGCAGGAAAAGTCATACACCTTATTTATTTAAATATGAAATGACAATGGCGAACTCCCATACAATTTTTTGTTGAACAATTTTTTTGCGTCTATAAATGAATTGCATGTTAAATTATAGAGTTTAGATTCTCGATTTGATTCGTCTTATTTCTTTTATTATAAGAAGTCTGGATTTATAGATATTCTACTTTGAAGGTTTGGAGGTTCTGTCATACCAAGTAATACAAAAACGGATTATCAAAGTATTTTCAAGGGTATTTTTATATCATAATAAAAAATACGTGGAATGGAACTATAGAAGTATACCGGTCCCGTAGATTAGTGACTAAAAAATGTTTTTTATAATGTATGATCAGTGGTCGTAAGTACTGACAAACCGCGTCAAAATACTTAATAATACTTAACAGACAAGAGTTATTGAGTTCGAATACAATGTCTGTGCTGTAAGAGTACTTAACAATTTGAAAATGCCCACAGCAATAATAAAGTATAAACAAGGATTTCTAATAGTGAACTAATGGGATATTAATCAAATATGAAACACTTTTTATACATTTTTTATTCCACATATTTGATCACAATATCGTAGATAGTAGATACAATGAAATAAAATCCACAGTATGGGACGGAATCGTGTCCAAAATCCACAGCAAGTAGTCATCCAAAATATTAGGTTCGGAAGTCTTAGGCAAGCACTACTCAACAGTCGCAGGGAAAGATTTCGAAAGTCCAAATCACGGAGCACCCCCACTAGAGTCCGCATACAAGGGCAAGCGCTTACGCCAAGCTTAAGTAGTATTTTACCTATGCGTGAGGCACGCCTACAGACGTCGCGATACATCGTTTCATTCGGTAACCGAGCGTTGGTCGAACTGCTTCTCTCGTTTTCGTGTTAAAAAACTGTAAAAAATGCCGTACTATGCAATTAAATTGTGTGGAAATTCGAGTACAACTTCCAGTCTTCAAAAAAATGGTATTACTTTTCACTGGTTAGTTTAAATGCATTACAAAAAGACAAAAATACTGTTATATTAAATTGCTGTTAATTGTATTTATTTTTTGGTGAACGCGTTGATGTCTTTTTACACTATCCCTTTCTCGCATGAGCTACATCATATATGCTGTCTCGCTCTCACACCGGCACGTGTATTGCTAGTGACTCAGACGCAGCTCATGTCTCAACGCGTAAGTTTATCGATAAGTTTGTCAGCTATGGAAATGGAAAAAATAAATAAAAACTATTTATTTCATCGCATACAATAATAGATATCATAAGTATACAACCAACAGTTTTTATTTGCATACTTCAAACATATCCTAATAAAATAGAAAAAACGCGAAAATTTGTATGCATATTTGTTATTCTTTCACGCTAAAACAGTTAAACGGATTTGTATGAAATTAAGTGCGCATAGTTTATGACCTAGATAAAGACATAGAATTAACGATATTAAATACCCTAGATACACCACGAGCGCTCAAAATGTGTCCCAATCAAGAAGTGCTTGAACTCCACTCAAGCACTTCTTAGTACACAGTCACACGCGGACCGTTGAAAAGTCAAGATGCCAAAGAGTTCCGTGAAAAAATGCAGAAAAATACTAATAGTACGTAAAGTGTCGTTTTTTCGACGGGTATCTAATTAATGTTTTTTAATTAACGCCTTTAAAGCAAAATTTATTGTTGTAATACTTACTATAAACTGATTTAATTTAAAATATTTGTGATATTCAAATGCATGGTCGGTTATACGTCGCCCTTAGCCATCTCTTTTCTTCGCGGTCTGTACCTGCTATATTGCTAACAGCGCATTCAGAATTGCGCGTGAAAATTCAAAAAAAATAAGGTCTATATTCTTTCACATATAACAATAAATCGTAAAATTTTACGAACTTGACGCATGCATTTTAATTAAGACCTTATGCCGTATGCATTAAAGGTGACTTTCAATGTTTAAATAAGGCATTATATTGTTTTTGACCACGCGATCATCTTACGGACCTCCGTGGATCGTCCAATGTACCTTTTGGACACGTTTCGGCCACGATTTTGTTCGTGTTGTTGTATCTAGGGTAGTTAATATCGTTGCATTAATACTTCTTGTCCTGGACGTGTTTTTTTTTTGTGTTGCTTATATATAATTTAGTATGTAGTTACTAGTCGCGTCATGTAATTAGAACGCTGGAAGAAAGTGGAGAGGGTATGATTACGCATTTGCGCACCAAAGTAGGCCTAT